ATGAAAGAGGACTAACAAGCAAACAATTTGCAAATGTACATAACTATTTACACGCATTAATTAATAAACATAATAAGAAAATAATGTGTTTTAAGGAAATTTTGTCGCACATAAAAAACAGTTCAACAAATAAGAATATAGTATAAAGTTGTATAAAATATGTATATATATCGAGAAGCATGTATAAGTGGCATGCCTTTGGGGATACGAACTTAAAAGGGAGTTAGGTAACTTGCTTGGGAAATAAAATAGCCAACCTTAATTTGAGGTTTCCTCAATGTTCTTATAAAAAAAAAAAAAAAAAAAAAATCGGAAAATCCCTTCATGGATTTTGATATCTAACCCTAATCGTGACCTTCTTTGATAGCTACAATCTCCCTCTCTTTGCTTATTCCCCAAGCAATTTTAGCTTACAAATGTTTTGACTAACTCCACATCGGTTAATCTCCTTTAGAAGTTCCCCCTCACCTACAAAAAAAGAAAAGAAAGTAAAACAAATAATTAACAAACAGATGAAATGTATTTTACTAAAACATAACCGCTAACAGCAAAAGTGAACCCTTCTAAAAGTTTCCAAGAGTTTTAAATTTTGTTTGCCGGGTTCTGCTTCAGACTCTTTTTGTAGATCAAGAAGTTTCCAAGAGTTGTTTTTGTTGGGTCTAAACAAAACTTAGCCAAGGACCAAAGCAAACGATATTATTAAACGGCCACATTTGGTCTAAGTCACTTACTTTCTCATGTTAAAATTTGAAGTCTAATATACTCAAAGCTGTCAAAGAAGCAGAACATGGAAGAGGAACTGTCATATCTGAGAAACTAAAATTGGCAATCTTGCAATTCATATTTAGAATCTACGCCATAGTACTGAGAAGGAAACAAAGAGTTTTTGAGGGATTGAAGAGGGTCAAAGAGTTTGACTTATCTTTGACACCACTCATACATTAGCTGTTCATATAATCTAACAACTAGTCAATATCAAGTGTCTCCAATTACAAGGAGTACTTCTCTACCAATTATCTTTTTGTTTTTTCATAATCATTTACTAATTGTTTGTCTATATCTCCTGCTCAAGCAAACACCTAACTCTCCTTTTCTATATATACACTAAAGGTAGAAACAATGAATCCACAATCTACAGCAAAACATAAACAGATAACCGAGGCAGAGTATTCAGTAAACCACCTGCTCTAAACAACGCCTCGGTGTCCAACCTCACTTAAATGGCGTTTCAGCTTCTCTTAGCTGTATTCTCTTGTGTTCTTCTTCTACCTCAACCTGCATTTGGGATTACAAGGCATTATACGCTGGAAGTATGTGAAGATTGTTTCTTCTGTGTAATTTCTTAAATAGGGATGCAATTATTGACTGAATGTTTCGTTTTTGTAGATCAAAATGCAGAACGTGACACGTCTTTGCCACACAAAGAGCCTTGTTTCTGTAAATGGGCAGTTTCCAGGTCCTAAGCTTATTGCTAGGGAAGGTGACCAGCTTCTGATCAAAGTCGTTAATCAAGTGTCAAACAACATTTCTATCCACTGGTAAACAATCTTAAAATTAATTGTACCATAATTAAGAGCGATGTTTGATTACTGACAGCTGGTTTTAATCCGTGAAAATCTCAGGCATGGGATCCGGCAATTACGGAGTGGTTGGGCTGATGGACCAGCCTATATAACCCAATGTCCTATTCAGACAGGACAAAGCTATGTTTACAACTATACCATTGTTGGTCAAAGAGGCACTCTGTGGTACCATGCTCACATTTCATGGCTAAGATCAACAGTCTATGGTCCACTTATCATCCTTCCCAAACGCGGTGTTCCTTACCCGTTTGCTAAACCTCATAAAGAAGTTCCCATGATCTTTGGTAAGGATGATGAGGAATAGAAGCAGACTGAGAATCTGATGAGAGTTTAGAAACATAATTACTGATTTTTATGGTTAAATTTCAGGGGAGTGGTTCAACGCAGACCCTGAGGCAATCATTCGCCAAGCAACCCAAACAGGAGGCGGTCCTAATGTATCTGATGCTTACACGATCAACGGGCTTCCTGGTCCATTATACAACTGCTCGGCGAAAGGTGATTGTTGATTCCTACACCTAAATCTAATCATGGTTTGATAACATATATGATCCACTAATCTAGATAACCAATGATATGAAACAGATACATTCAGACTGAGAGTGAAGCCAGGAAAAACATACCTTCTCAGGCTAATCAATGCTGCACTTAATGACGAGCTCTTTTTCAGCATCGCAAATCACACGGTTACGGTTGTTGAAGCTGATGCGATCTATGTTAAGCCATTTGAGATGGATACCATCTTAATTGCTCCCGGCCAGACCACAAACGTCCTGCTGAAGACTAAATCTAGTTACCCGAGTGCCTCCTTCTTCATGACTGCTAGACCATACGTCACAGGTCAAGGAACTTTTGATAACTCTACAGTTGCTGGAATCTTAGAATATGAACCACCTAAACAGACCAAAGATGCTCACTCAAGGACCTCTATCAAAAATCTTCAACTCTTCAAACCGATACTCCCTGCTCTAAACGACACAAATTTTGCTACCAAGTTTAGCAATAAGCTACGCAGCCTGAACAGCAAAAATTTTCCAGCAAACGTGCCTCTGAATATTGATCGAAAGTTCTTCTTCACAGTAGGATTGGGAACAAACCCATGCAATCATAAGAATAACCAGACATGCCAGGGTCCTACTAACACCACAATGTTTGCTGCCTCAATCAGTAACATTTCCTTCATAATGCCAACAAAAGCTCTCCTTCAATCTCACTATTCTGGGCAATCTCATGGAGTTTATTCCCCAAAATTTCCATGGAGTCCCATTGTCCCGTTTAACTACACAGGCACTCCACCTAACAATACCATGATTAGCAACGGTACAAACTTGATGGTTCTACCTTATAACACCAGTGTGGAGCTGGTGATGCAAGACACTAGCATTCTTGGTGCAGAAAGCCATCCTCTTCATCTTCATGGGTTCAACTTCTTTGTGGTTGGCCAAGGCTTTGGGAATTTCGACCCGAACAAGGATCCTAAAAACTTCAACCTTGTTGACCCAATAGAGAGGAACACAATCGGTGTGCCATCTGGTGGATGGGCTGCTATTCGATTCCTTGCAGATAACCCAGGTAAGAAAAACAGTAATAAACCAACGAAATACAGCTTTATATTAGTGTCATCTAATATGAGTATGATAACCAAGTTTACAAAATGTTTCACAGGAGTGTGGTTCATGCACTGTCACTTGGAAGTACATACCAGTTGGGGTCTGAGGATGGCTTGGCTTGTTCTTGATGGAGATAAACCTGATCAGAAACTTCTTCCTCCTCCTGCAGACTTGCCCAAATGCTGAGAATTCATTCCCCATGATTCAAGTCTTTTTTCTTTTTGTTTCTTGTCTCTTCTTTCTTACAAGATTCGCCGCATTTTTTTCGTTTTTTTCCCCGGCCATTTATCGGTGGACATGAGGTCAATTCCTGTTTAATAATTTGACATGAGGTCAATTTCTTTACAATTATTTACTGTTGCACAGCTCTGTTTTCTGCAAGTGTAGATCTATGTAAACCCAAAACTAATATATATATACACAATCTAATTTGCATATATTGACCTTACCTTCTATAGTTATGTAATACAATCTCTGTAGCAACTAACTGTTGAAGATATACACAAATCGTTTGAATCAGATGGTCCATGTAAACAATGATACAACACCCACATATGACATCTACACATTGTATATATCTGTACATATTTATGATGAAAATTGAGTGTTTTTAGGTTTCACAAAACTCAATCATTCACATATAGATGGTGCAGGAAATTATGGCTCTACATCCAAAGCGGTTCTGTACAATTATCCCAACTTTCCTGGTTTAAATATCTATCTCAAAGATCTTAAGAATAGCACAAAATCTGCTTGAAACCCTCAAGAACCATAATCTGAAGTAATATTTGGATCTAATGTCTTAGTAAGAAATTGGATTATCCTGGACACCATTTATCAGCTGTTCAGGGTCTAACAACTGGTCAATAGCACGAAGGACCAAAATCACAGAGCTTCTCTAACACTTCCTTTGATTTTCATAAACTAGTAATTCTATCTCTGGCCATGTCTCAAACAAAAACCTACCCGTGTCTTCTCTATATATTCCCTAGGGATCAAAATCTGAAAGAGAAAGTAAGCGCAAGTTTCAGTAAAGCACCTGCCAAACCAGGATGTACACCAGTTAACGACATGACTTTCAAAAATTCATGAAGATGCCGGTTTCCACAGAGTTTAAGATTCTCCATGCTGTGCACTACTTATTCTTCCTCACCCTGCATCAGGATTTACAAGACTATAGTAAGCTCAGAGTATGGTGAACTTACAATAAATATGAAGCTGGATCATACGCAACTAACGAATCATGCACTGCCACTTGGAGATACACAACAGGTCGGGTTTGAAAATGGCTTCGCTTTGTTGGATGGAAATAAGACTGATCAGTATTCCACAAAACCTCTAACTCCACCAACATCTTTACCTAAATGTCGATATCCTAATTTAAGTCCTATATTGTCCTGATCAATTGGTTTTCACTTTTTCTTTGGCTTTCTCGAGAACTTCACATGGGAGAATCTCTGTGAAATCAAAATGTTCCTGTTAGTTCATGAAATAGACCAAGGAACCAACGATTTGTAACAGACAAAATCGCATGTAAGATTTACATACCGGACGATCGAGGATCATCTGTACTCGCATAGGTTGAGTTGAACAGGACGTGGAAATCCTTCTTCCTTGCTACAGGAAACGTCCTATACGTTCAAGCACCAGACTTTCAAGTGCCTAAACAAAAATTGAGTTTACATATAACATTCCTAGTTTATTCCACAACTTGAGAAAGTAGATTAGAGTGAATGCTGCTAAGTGCTAACGCTTCAAGCACACCAAAACTTTGCATTCAAGCATCTTCCAAATATAGTAGAGGATTAAAAAAAGGGTAACATCACACTACCAAAGCAACAAAAACTTGATTGCAAATAACATAAAACTATAACAAGAGAGTTCCAAATATCAAATCTTTCTCAATCTTAATTGTCACCAAGTAACATCTTCAACTACACATACCCAAAAATTTGAAAGATTTCTTAGTTTCAACTACAAAATTTTCTCAAACCTTCAGCTAAAACCCCAAATTAACCAACTTCAATCATCAACCTCCTTCGATTTCCTCTTTTTCTTGCTCTTCCTCTCTTCTGAACCCATCTCTTCATCACTCTTCTTCCTCTTTTTCTTGCTCTTCGTCTCCTCTGAACCCATCTCTTCATCACTCTTCCTCTTCTTCTTCTTCTCCTTCTTTCTCTCTTCACTTCTTTGCTCGTCTTCCAACTTCTCCTTCACCTTCTCATCAACAAGCTCTTTCTCTTTGTCTTTGTTCCTCTTGCTCTTCTTCTCCTTCTTTCTCTCCTTTCTCTCTTCGCTCCTTTGCTTGTCTTCCAACTTCTCCTTCACCTTCTCATCAACAACATCTTCGTCTTTGTTGTTCTTCTTCTCCTTCTTTCTCTCTTCTCTCCTTCGCTCATCTTCCAGCTTCTCCTTCACCTCCTCACCAACAACATCTTCGTCTTTGTTATTCTTGCTCTTATTCTTCTTCTTTTTCATCTCGTCCTGTTCCCTACCATAAACTGATTCCTCACTCACAGCTCCACTTTTCCGGTAACGAATCTTCCCTCCGTCTAACTCGCCAGTGACATCCCGCTCACGTCTTGCGTCGGAGCTTGGGTTCGTCTCCTTTGATTTAACCTCCCTGACGGAGCTTGGCTTCGCATCCTTTGATTTAATCTCCCTGTGGAAACTCTTTAATTCGGTGAAGGCGGCGGAGGCTCGTCGGAGGTACGCACTAACGTCTTGAGAGGCGCCATTATCGGAGGAAGCGAATCCAGAGAGAAGCGTAGCCGCCTTGGAAAGGGAGATTGGTTCAGCACTAATAACTCTTCCGGTGACTGTCTTCATCGGAAGAAGCTCGAAGATTGTCGCGCCTCTCTCACTTCACAAATTAGGGCTCCAATTTCCCCTAAAGCCTGGGACTTTCGAAATAAGAAGAAAATCAAATTTACTAAAGTACCCCTTGTTTGGTTTTCGAAAAAAGGAAATTAGAAAAAAAAAAAAGCTCGAGAACTAATAGTTATATATAAAAACTCGCGACCTAATTAATGTTTAGAATAAATAGCGCTGTGGCAAAGAGCCCTAGGTCAAGCATTCCAAGGTCTCGAGTTCGATCTCCACATCTAGGGTTTCTGGTTTTTTTTTTGGGTTTGTTTTTGGTCTGCTTGGATCATCCATTTTTCTTCCGTTCCCAGCCTATCTCCCGCCTGTTACTTAGCTCTGCTGCTTCTTCTTAAACCTAAACCCACCTTTTTCACCCTCTTCTTTCTCACTGTAAGTTGATTCTTCGATCGGTCTCGAGTTTACTTTGTTTTTTTTCTTCTCTTACTCCGATTCGAAACTTAGTCGGTTTTTTTTTTCCTTCTGGGTTAAAAAGTTTGCAGCTTTGATTGGAGGAGATGGAGACGAAGATGGAAATTGAATTCACTAAACAACCCTACATCGAAGATGTTGGTCCTCTTAAAATGTATGTTCTTTCAGTTTTTCTCCTCAAGTTAAACTACTCTATTGATATATTTTTTCCCAAGTACGCTCCTTTTAGCAGCTGGATCATACTCATTGTGCATAAAGTTCGTTTCTTTTTGCTAGTTTATATATTTGTTCCAAGCTCTGAAATTTGGATTTTTGGGTGTCTGAATTCTTATGTCAACTAGATGATATATTCTCTGCTAAAAGCTTTTAAGATTCTTTGTTTATGTCTGTCTGTAGATTTCTTTTATGATGATCTTAATTTGATACAATGAATATTAGTTTTGAGATTTTGATATTGTGGAACAAAACTTGTTTGCCAGTTTTTGTTGTTTTTCTTGGTGGGATTTTTGACATTACTATTATCTCTGCAGAAAAAGCATAAACTTCTCTGTGCTTTCTGATCTTGAGGTCATGAAAGCTGCTGAAGTTCAAGTATGGAAGAATAATTACTACGAGACCAATCTTAAACCCTATGAAAACGGCTTGTTGGATGCTCGAATGGTATCCGATTTTCTTATATATACCTATTATCTCTCTTGGTTTAACTTCTTATGCCTATAACCATGGCAACTATTTTATGTTATGTTTTTGCCTCCTGCTGTTATTTGCATCAGTACATATGATTCTAAACATTCTCTATTCCAAGATATTTTTGTCATTTTGAGAAGATTATTACTAAATAGTTTGTTCATTACGATTTTGCAGGGTCCTCCAAACAAAAAGTCTATATGCACAACCTGTGACGGAAACTTCCAAAATTGTCCGGGACACTATGGATATCTGAAGCTTGACCTCCCAGTTTACAACGTTGGATTCTTCAATTTTATCCTTGACATTTTGAAGTGCATTTGTAAGGTAACAGAGTTAGCAGATTATGCCTCTCTAGAGTCTGTTCTGTTTTATGTTAGTCGACCCTTTTACTTTTGTTGAATGGAGAAAGTAGAGAAAAATCCAGCATAAAAAATTGTTTCTTGAGAAGATGCCTTTCAAAATCCAGACAATGCCTATTTTGCATTAAAAAAAACTGGCTGGTCATATTGTTGTCTTTGTAGCATCAACAGTAGTTCACAAATATTGTTTTTTCCCCACAGCGCTGTTCCAACATGCTTTTAGATGAGAAATTGTATGAAGATCACTTAAGGAAGATGCGGAATCCCAAAATGGAGCCATTGAAGAAGACTGAATTGGCGAAAGCGGTTGTCAAGAAGTGCAGTACGATGGCAAGCCAGAGAATTATAACGTGCAAAAAATGTGGCTACCTGAATGGTATAATTTTGAACTGTTTTTTGGCTGAAACTATTTAGATTCGATGATGCTTTTTTGAAGTTAATAATTTATAACCTTGATTTCTTTTCTCATTCTTCATGCGTTTCATCTTAGATGCAAAATTTAGCTCGTAGAACATTCGAATAAGTTTCTTATGTAGCGCAAGCAGAAAATTGGGGATTTTTTGGAATTGTAATATCTATTTCCAAAATCCTTAACCTCTGTTATTGGTTAATCTGAACTTGTGTTCTATTCTTATTTATGCTATGTTCTTGATACTGCTTCTATCTACCCAATTCAATTTGATATCCTGGTAATGGTTAATCTATTGATAAATTTCAGGCATGGTAAAAAAGATTGCAGCGCAGATGGGTATAGGCATCAGCCATGACCGATCTAAAATCCATGGTGGAGAGGTTGATGAATGTAAATCTGCAATATCCCACACAAAGGAGTCTACTAGAGCAATAAATCCTCTTACCTATGTTCTTGATCCTAACTTGGTGCTCGGGCTTTTTAAAGGAATGAGTGACAAGGTATATTTTGAGTTTTTATCTATAATGCCCAATTTTTTCTACATAGTTTCCTGCGGTATGTTCTTTTTCTCTCAGAACATATGCATTAGTATAAACGGATTTTCTTATATAAAAATAATTCAGTCATGCTGATTCTTTTTATTTTTCCTTTTTCTTTCGGAAATCGATAATAGGACTGTGAACTTCTTTATATTGCCCATAGACCTGAGAATCTTATCACAACGTGCATGCTTGTGCCACCTTTATCCATCCGACCGTCTGTTATGATTGGTGGTACTCGAAGGTTAGCTATCGTTTTGTTTATCTTTCTCATGTCAGTTATATTTTCTGTTCCTGGGATTTTTCTTGAAAGAATGTGTTTTCTTACTGCAGCAATGAAAACGACATAACAGAGCGATTAAAGCTAATCATTCAAAACAATGCTTGTCTTCATAGAATTTTAAGTCAACCTACCACATCGCCCAAAAACATGGTACAAGGAGTCCCTGTTTTTGTTTAATCTTACTTCAAAATGATTTTTTGGTTTACGTTTTTATTCCAGTTTTCTTTTAGGACTATATCTGGTTCTGTTATTTTTCTTCTTTCTTATTTGTTGATGATTTTTTTATTTTTAGCAAGTATGGGATACAGTTCAAAGCGAGGTTGCAAAATACATTAACAGTGAAGTCCGTGGTGTACAAAACCAGCCAGAGAAAACACCACTGAGTGGACTTCTTCAGCGTCTTAAAGGAAAACAGGGACGTTTCCGTGCAAACTTGTCGGGGAAGCGTGTCGAGTACACTGGTAGAACTGTTATTTCACCTGATCCCAATCTGAAAATTACAGAGGTAACTTATCTTAAGTGGTGTTTAATTGTTGCTTTTTGTGTTTATATTTTTGGTGTAACCTATCACTAAGGTAACTAAACTTTTCAGGTAGGAATTCCCATCCTTATGGCTCGGATCTTAACTTTTCCTGAATGTGTTTCCCGTCATAATATTGAGAAGTTGAGGCAATGTGTCCGTAATGGCCCTAATAAATACCCTGGTGCCAGAAATGTCAGATATCCAGATGGTTCTTCAAGGTAATGTTGTGTGCTAGTTTTGTTACATATTGGTTAATGAATACTATTTAAGGGGGGGAAACTGATCTTGATGAGTTAATATATCTAGATAGCTAGGTTTTCACAGTCAAAATGATCTTCAGTTTCAGTAAAATTATGTGTACTTGCAAATTTATGTTGACTCGTATATAGGTTTGGTTCATGGTATAGACACACACAAACAGGTAAATTACATAGGTAGAAATGAAAATATGCAAGTAACAACTTTTCCGCTCTCAATGAAGCCAAATCAAATCACTGAGATTTGTTTCGAGAATATAGGTAAACACTATTGCTGAACTGAAGTAGATACCTAATACCACTGAAGGACTGCATAGTCCTCATAGGGTCATTTGCTTGGGTTTTTGTCCATCATATGGGGGCATTAACACATTTCATTTCAGGACTTTGGTTGGTGATTATCGTAAGCGTATTGCTGATGAACTGACCATTGGCTGCATAGTTGACCGCCATTTAGAAGAAGGGGATGCTGTTCTTTTTAACAGGCAACCGAGTCTGCATCGGATGTCTATCATGTGTCACAGGGTCAGTACTGGTTTATAATGCTTAGTCATAATTTTCTCTTGCCCTCATAGTAATCCTAATTTTACATTTGTTGTCCCATAGGCAAGAATAATGCCTTGGAGAACATTGAGGTTCAACGAATCGGTTTGTAACCCATATAATGCTGATTTTGATGGTGATGAGATGAACATGCACGTACCACAAACAGAGGAGGCTCGGACAGAGGCTATCACATTGATGGGGGTACCTTCTCTTTTACTTAGCATCATATGAAGTTTCGTGGGGATAGTCAATTATATAGATGTTGGCTACATCTAACACTCTATATGCTCATATTAATGCACACATACATACATAAGTACCAGATGATGATGAGATGGAGTCTTGCCTAACAAATTTCACCAATGAATTTTAACTGAACCTTTAGGCTTTCCGAAGCAATTTAAAAGATCTAGATCCTGGAGCTGAGGAAACGATGAGTTTAAAATGTTAGAAAAAACTTCATTTGTAATGTGTATATGAACGATCTCAATGGACAGAAATGATGATAGAGTAAAAGCGAGGAAATTGTTTCATCTAAGCTGTGTTTGTTATATGAGCTGTTGGTTCCTAGTCTGTTTAACTGTTAATAATTATGTGGGTGATAATTGACTTCTCCCTTGGTTGGTATCTCAGGTACAAAACAATTTGTGCACCCCAAAAAATGGAGAAATTTTAGTAGCATCAACGCAGGACTTTTTGACAACTTCCTTTTTGATAACGAGGAAGGACACATTTTATGACCGTGCAGCCTTTTCACTTATATGTTCTTACATGGGAGATGGCATGGATGCCATAGATTTGCCCACACCCACAATCCTTAAGGTATGAGACTTCTGCACGTTTTTCACCTCTGTAGTTCATCACAACTGACTTGAGAATGTTAGATAGCTACAGCTTGTTCTGTTGCTATGAACTATCTTATATATATTTTTCTGTGCGTGTGTTAATTTCTCATTAGCTTTTTGCTGCGCTATTTATTCTGGTAATCCGTCGTCACTGATTCTGAAATTGAACGATAATAGTTTGGTTGTATGAAATTGTACATTATTTTC